AAGTTTATATCAGACAATTTTTAGATTTACAGTATTGCGTCACACTGGACTGGGAGATTGAATATTTCCTAAATCTAAGTTAATCGCATCGTCATCGTTGTGTATGTACATTGTACATTCTTTCGTACGCATCCAGTTTGCGCTCATCGTTTACTCGTTTCAACAATTTCACGTGGCGGTTTCATTTCATTAATTTGTTAAATTCATTGAGTTTACTTTTATTTTTAGGTGAAATTGATCAAACCAAGGAGCTCTTGGAAAAAGGGGCAAGTTTTAATGCAGAAAATGAATATAAACGAACGCCACTACATTTAGCTGCATTATTTGGTAACTAATATTGCAAACTATCGATTCGAACTATGAATTCCTTTAAATGTTTGGTCATTTGCATTCCAGGTCGGAAGGATGTGGTCGAACTTCTCATCAGTCATGGGGCTAGTGTTAATGCAGAAGATATAAGAAAACGAACGCCACTACATGAAGCTGCCTGTCGGGGTAATATTGCAAACTATCTACTCGAATTATTATTTCCCTTTTATGTTTGATAATTTGCATTCCAGGTCGGAAGGATGTGGTCGAACTTCTCATCAGTGATGGAGCTAGTGTTAATGCAGAAGATGAAGATAAACGAACGCCACTACATGAAGCTGCCAGATGGGGTAATATTGCGAACTATCGACTCGAACTATGAATTCATTTGAATGTTTGATCATTTGCGTTCCAGGTCGGAAGGATGTGGTCAAACTTCTCATCAGTCATGGAGCTAGTTTTAATGCAGAAGATAAAGATAAACTAACGCCACTACATTACGCTGCCATGAAGGGTAATAATAGCTGCATAAATTAATTTTGAGGGATTTCTACCAGATGGCGTAACTTGTACTGTAACGCATCGGACCATACTGTAACTTTATTCACGTGAAAGCCAAATCATTTGACATTAGTTTTCAGAATGTGTTATTTTGTCAAAGTGTAAACAACATAATTTTTTCGCTTACAATCATGTCAGCATAATTGCCAAAAAAACAGCATTTGCGGGAAGTTTTAATTTTCTTCTTTAATTCGAAGAAAAGTGCCGCTGAGAGCCATCGATTA